CACAGGACAGCTGGATCCACGAACGGTCGATGGCAGCCAGCAACGTCGAGTCGCGCTTGCTCGCGATCCCCAGGCCGTTGAGCCAGCGCGAGGTGAAGCAGATCAGGGGCAAGATAACGCGCTCAATGTAGTAAAGGATGTCACATTCGACGTGCTGGCTAAATCGCGTCGAAAAGCGACGCGCAGGGACAGTATGATGCGCTGGTGGCAACCGTCCACAGCACTCCCTACAATTGCTGAGCACTGCGGGGATGAGGTCGAGGATTGCCTGGGGCACGCTGGCCACTCGTAAGAGCTCGCGCCATTTCCTCCGTAGGAGTTCGGCAGCTCGTCGTTTTTATATAATTTTTTGTTCGACCAAGGCGCATGGAAAACCTGTAGGAAGATTGGCTCAGGCACTGACGACAAGGACGGAGGGGAGCGGAACAAGAGGGGCTCCGCAATGCAATGCACGCTAGCTGCGCGCGGGCGGGAAGCCCAAGACAGGAGTGGGGGAGGAAGAGGGAGATACCGATATATGGCCACAGGAATTTGCCGAAACCTGCGGTTGGAAAGCTGGCGACCTAAAAGCCCTCAGGACCGCGGCACGAAGACGTCGAAGGTGCCGGAATCTAGATCAGGCTCACGATGTAGCAAAAACTCTCGGCGAACGCGGTGCCGATGCGATCGAAGCGCCCGAAGGCAAGCGACTCCTCCTCGGATGAGCGGCACTGCCCCCAGCGGCCTCAGCCCACATCCACACCGCACCGAGCGCGCGGCACCAGGCAGCTAGCGGCGAGCCGCCCCCGCCGCTGCTGACGCGCGCGTGCACTAGCTGCTGGATAGAGCTGGCTGCCTGGCCGTGTGCCACGCCCTTGACAATGGCCTGGCGGCTCCTCTGGACGACCCCCTCCGGGCGGTTGTGCGCGGCACGGCCCTCCACGCACTGCAAGAGGCTGGAGAGGTCCACCCCCGCTTCGGAGAGAGCCCGCACCTCAGCCAAGACCGCGAGGTATTCGGCGCTCCACTGCGAGCAAGACGGTGCCCAGGTCAAACCCGAAAGGCGCGCGGGCGGGGCGGCGGACGGCTGGGCCGGCTGCCCATGCGCCGCGCTGGACCCGCGGGCTGCCGCGCCGGCGGGCGGGGGCGTCGCCGGGCACGATCGCCGCGCCAGCCCGACGTCCTCGCTCTCGCCGTCCGTGGAGAGCTGGGTGCCGCCAAGCCCGGACGAGAGCTGCTCGTCCTCCTCGCGGCCATCTCCACTGCCGTTGGGATGAACCTCTGCCCCATCGCCCGAGGCTGGGGCCATTGCAGGTAGCAGCCATCGCCGCTGCGGAGCTTCACCATCTCCTGGCTGAGGATCCCCGTCATCTTGCCGAGGTGAAGGCTGTCGCCGCGGGTCATTCGCACGGACAACCGCGACGGGGGAGGCGTCGGGAAGGGCGTCGCGGGCGTCGGGGAGGGCGTGGGCGTCGGGAAAAGCGTCGGGAAGGCCGCCGTGGGGAAGGGCGTCGTGGGCGTCGGGGCGGGCGTCGGGGAGGGCGTAGTCGGGAAGGGCGTCGCGGGCGTCGGGGAGGGCGTGGGCGTCGGGAAAGGCGTCGGGAAGGGCGGCGCGGGGAAGGGCGCCGTGGGCGTCGGGACGGGCGTCGGGAAGGGCGTCGTCGGGAACGGCGTCGTGGGCGTCGGGAAGAGCGTCGCGGGCGTCGGGGAGGGCGTAGTCGGGGAGGGCGCCGTGGGGAAGGGCGTCGCGGGCGTCGGGGCAGGCGTCGGGAAGGGCGTCGGAGCCGCACAGCGGGTTCCGGCAGGGCCTCTCCGGCCCGTGCTGTGCGCTTGAAGGCCGCTGGAAGCCGAGCAGGGTGCCGGGCTGGGCGTCGGCTGGAGCTCTGGGCTCGGGGCCGCACAGCGGGTTCCGGCAAGGCCTCTCCGGAACGTGCTGTGCGCGGGCCTGCCGCTGGTAGCGCAGGGCGCCAGGCTGGGCGTCAGCTGCGAGGCTCAGCATGCCCATCGGGCCAATGATCTCGTCGGTGTACCACGCCCGGACCAGGTCAGGGGAGGCTTCGAAGAAAACGTATGGAGAAGATGGCGGCGCCTCCGACTCAGGCCCATCAGCATCCAGCGTGTAGAGCAAGGGCGGCCTCGAACTGGTAGTCGCGGCGGCGCTGCCCAGGGTAACCTGGAACTCTACCACATCGACGTCCAGCGTGGAGAACAGAGTAAAACGTGAAGCGGGATTCGTAACGGCCCTGCCCAAGAGAGACGAGGCGCCAACACGATGAAGGCCAAAAGGATTGGATGAAGAACTTATTGATGGTGAGCTCGTACTGGCACAGCCGTGCCCGCGGGCACGAGGGGCCCCGGTTGGCCCGAAGCTGTCTAGGCGCTCCAGTCGGTCTCGCTCGCCAAGGCCAACTCGTCCTCGCCCTCGACTGCGTCCTCTCGATTTCGCCCTCCCTCTCGACTACGGCCCGGGCCGCCTCGTCCTCGACCGCAGAACCCTCCGCCTTCCATGGCATCAGGCAAGCCCCTGGCGGCGCCTCCGGCGGTGCCTTCGGCGGCGGGGCCTGCGGCGGCGGCGCACTTCAAGATAAGTCAACTATATATGCATATAACTCAACATATAAGCGGCTAAGTCGCCCCGAGGCGACGACTGCCGCGACGGCCGACCTACCGACGGCGACGACTGCATCGCCAACAGCTACGCGGACAGCAGCATTGACAGACGCGCCAACGACGGCGTCGACAGCCTCGCCGACAGCTGCTCCGAGGGCTGGGAGGGCTGCGGCACTGGCAGCCGAACCGAAGGCGGCACCGACGGCTGCTATCAGACAAGTGTACGTCAGCGGCTGCGCTGACAGCGGCACCATAGCTACAGCTGCGCCGACAACGGCTACGACGGCCGCGCCGACAGCGTCACCAACAGCCCCGCCGACGACGTCGCGGGCAACTGCGACGACTGCTGCGCCGACCGCTGCACCGGCCACTGCGCCAACGACGGCACCGACCAGCTCCTCGGCAGCCACGCTGATTGCGGGGCCGACAGATGCGCCGACGGCCGTGCAGACTGCGGCACCGACAGCTTGTCCGACTGCGGCACCGGCGGGCGGGCCGGCTTCGGCATCAACGATGCCGCCGATTGGCTCTCTGACAGGTTCGCCGACGTCGGCATCAACAGCGGCGCCATTAGCTGCGGAGACCACCAGGCCGACAGCGGCACCGACAGCTGCAGCCTCGACGGCGTCGCCGACAGCTGCGTCGACGGCGGCGCCGACAGCCCCGTCGGCTGCGGCACATGAAGCAGCGCCAGCAGCAGGGCCGATGGCAACGCCAACAGCAGCACCGATAACGGCGCCAACATGTGCGCTAGCAGCCGCGATGACTGCGGCATCGATAGCCGCGCCGACGGCTGCGCTGACAGCGGCGCCGACGGCGCCCATTGCAGCACTGGCAGCCGCGCTGGCGGCGGCGCCGACAGCTGCGCCGGCTGCGGCACCGACCGCCTCGCCGACAGACGCGCCGACGGTGGCGCCGAGAGCCGCGCCGACAACGGCGCCGGCGGCCGCGCTGACTACAGCGGCACCGACAGCGACGCCAACAACTGCGCCAGCGAGTGCGTCGACAGCCGCGCTGGTTGCAGCGCCGACAGCCGCGCGGACCGCGGCGCCGACGGCTGCGCAGGCTGCGGCGCTGACAGCCTAGCCAGCACTCGCACCAGCAGCGGCGGGGGCAGCCGCGCCGACTGCGGCGCCAACAGTAGCGCCAGCCGCGGAACTGACAGCTGCGCCAACAGCGGCACCGACAGCTGCGCCGACAAGCGCGCCGACAGATGCGCCGACTGCGGCTCAGACAGCCTCACCGGCAGTTGCGCCGACGGCCGCATCGACCGCAACACCGATAGCGGCGCTTGCCGCGGCGCCGACGGCGGCATCGCAAGCCTCGCCGACGGCTGCGCCAGCAGCGGCGCTGATAGCTGCGCCGATTGCGGCACCAGCGGCGGCGCCGGCACGTTCGTCGACAATGGCGCCGATTGCAGCACCGGCAGCTGCGCCGGCACGCTCGTCAACAGTTGCGTCGATAACGCCACCCGCAGCCGCGCGGGCCGCGCTGACGGCGGCACCGACAGCTGCACCAGCTGCGGCGCCAATCGCCTCGCCGACAACAAGGACAGCCTCGCCGAACGCAGCGCCGACAAACTCTCGGACAGGGCTCCGCCGACTGCGTTGACTGCGGCCCCGGCAGCCGTGACGACTACGGCAGCGACAGCATCGCGGACAGATGCGCCAATGGCCAGGCCGACAGCAGCACCGACAGCTGCGCTTGCAGCGACGCTGACAGCGGCATCGACAAAATGGCCGACAGCAGCGCCGATGGCCGCGCCGACCGCCGCACAAATAGCTGCGCCGACTACGGCACCGACGTCCGCGGTGACCTCGGTGTCGGCAGCAACGCCGACTGCGGCGCAGACGGCCCAGCCGACTGCGGCACCCGCAGCCGTGCCGTCTGCGGCACTCGCAACCTGGCCGACGGCTACGTTGACCGCCTCGCCGACTGCGGCACCGACGGCCTCGCTGACACAGGCCCCGATGGCCGCGCCGACTGCGGCGCGGACAGGATAGCGGAGCGGATGGCCTTGGCCAACGGATTCACCGGCAGAGGCTCCGACCGCGGCGCCGACGGCCAGGGCCACGCCAACAGCGGCACCGACAGCTGCGCTGACAGCGGCGCCAGCTGCGGCACCGAGAACCGCGCCGATTGCGGCGCTAGCAGCCGGACCGAGCCCAGCCGACAGCTGCGCCGGTCACAGCACCGACAGCTGCTCTGGCGGCGGCGCCGACAGCCTCACTGGCAGCCGGTCCGAGGGTTGTGCCGATTACTGCACTGCCGGGCGCTGACAACCTCGCCGACGGCTGCGCCGACAGCGGCACCGACGGCGACACTGGCAGCGGCGCTGACGCCAAGGCCACTGCACAGGCCGCCACCAGGGGGCACGCGAGCGCCCAGGCGATCCCGATGCACTCAATGAAATGGATAGCCCCATCACGCTGAATGGCGCCACGGAGTGCACGCCTGAGCATCTCGTGCAGGTGCTCAACTTTGAGGCCAAGCGGAAGCTGGGCGCGTACCATGTCTTGCAGGGCATCGTGTCCTGGAGGTGGCTGACGCCACGGCTATTGGAACTCATGCGAGAAGGACGCTTACCGCTGGCACCTCGAAGCCGCCGGCAGCGCTCCGGATTGGGTGCCCGACCAGGGCGGCAAAGCTGGGCGAGGCCGGCACCCAGGCCATCACCTATACGCCGCGAACTCTAAGCCGCCCTGGCGCCTGCTGGCGGCCACCTCCACGCCAGACAAGGGCAATACCATCGATGGCAACGCGCGGCCCTACCGCGCGGAGAAGAAGCAGCAGCAGACGGTCGAGGGTCACGCCAGCAACTTCGGGGGCGCGCCTGCCAACGACTCCGCGGCACCGAGCGGGGCATTCGCGCTCCTCGAGCGCGAGCCCGGCACCGTCCAGGCGACGCTGCGAATCGTGGATCTGCCGCCGCCTGGCCCCCAGATACACGCCGAGATCGCAACGCCGCCCGAGGCGCCGTGCGATTTTACCGCGGCGGCGCATGCGGGCCCGAAGCACGGCGTGGCGCACATGGCCTCCAAGGCTGGCTATCTCCTGATTTTCACCATCGCCACTGCCCCCGTGCTCGCACGCACCAGGGTCTCGCAGAAGTCCGTCTCCGCCCCCGTCGGCAGCGAGCAGTCCGACGGCGCCATCCTCGCGAAGCGGAAGGGGCGGGCCCTGTCAGGAAAGGTGAACGAGACGCCCTTCATCAACGACTTCAGCAGCTCGTAGCAACTGGCGAAACGCGCGGAGATCGCCTTCACGCTAGCGCGACGCTTCGGTCTGCCTGGCGCCAGCGATCTCTTCCAGCAGGAAGTCAAGTAGGCGCTCGCGTCCAGGGACTGCATGGGCGAGGCGACTGTCGCGGCGCAGCACGGGAGCGGGTTGCTCCGCACGCCGAGGACCATCAAGCAGTTCAGGAGCATCCAGGCGCCAAAAGGCCAACCGTCCCCGACGCTGCGCTACTTCATCACGCTGTTCGAGCACGGCAAGCCGAAGGCGCTGGAGCCCCTGGAGCAGGCGCACCCGGTGGTCGCGCGGCAGAAGCGCGACATGATCGAGGAATGGCAGAGGGAGGAGTGGCAGATGGAGGAGAAGGAGGAGGGAAGCAGAAGGAGGAGAAGAAGGAGAAGCTCGCCGACCAGACGAGGGGCGACGACGAGGATGAGGAGGAGAAGCTCGAATGCACCGAGGAGCTCGGCGACGCGGTCAAGCTGCGCCCCGCGGCTTGCTCGCGCGCACGCCGAGACCGAAGCACTTCGGCGGCGAAGGCGGCTGCGACGAGGCCGCCGCCAAGCCCGCGCGCGAGCACGCGTTCAACCAGGGCCAGCTGCAGGCCGGCGACACCTGCGGAGGCCCACCAGCACCGACGGAGCCAGGCGGTATTCCTGGAGTGGCAGCGCCATGACACCGCGCTGCAGCCCGAGCCGCCCGTCGCGGGGAGATGGGGAGGCTCGGCGGCGCAGCGTTTCCTGTTTTGGCGAGCTGGCGAAGCAGTGTCGGCGGGGACGACGGCGCCGATGGATAGCCCCCCACACTCGCTGGAGGAGCGACGCCGTCGTGAAAGGGGCGGCTTGCGCCGAGTCCAGCTCCTTGGGGGAGCCCTTGCGTGGCCACGTTGAGTCTGCAGCAGTGGAAACCAATGGCACTTCAGGACCCACTACGGCCACCCGCTGAAGGAGGTGGCGGCAGAGCCCGCTGGCGCGCGGCGAAAGATGGTGGAGCTGGAGCGCGTGCATACGCAGCACCAAGACATCATCGTCATCTGAATCATGCTTGCTGCTGCCTCCTCACTATGAGCCCCACGCCATAGTTAGGCTCAAGTGTCCGCAGGGCGCGACTGCTGTCCCAGACAGCTTAGTTGGTTGGTTTTAGCTTAAACGCTCGGCGGTGTCTCCTCTCGGCCCCCCTTGCTCTCTCTAGCCCCCCCCCATGCTCCTTGGGGTCAAGCTGGCCCATCCTGGGGACATCGCATCCCTGCCCTGCGCGGTAGGCTCCGCCGGACGCGACGCGAGCGCCAGGCGGCAGAGCCCGCTGGCGCACGGCGAAAAATGGTGGAGCTGGAGCGCGCGCACACACACGCAGCGCCAAGACACCATCGCCATCTGCGTCATGCTTGCTGCTGCCTCCCCACCGCGAGCCCCAAGACACAGCCACGCTCAAGTCTCCAGACAGCCGCGAGAGCCTCGGCCCAAGAGGCCCCCGTCGTCTCCTTCCCCCTCAGCAAAATTCCTGTCTGCGCCCCACCCGCACCTCCGCAACTGCGGCATCCGCTTTCGCTCGCGGGCCCACTGATTCCTAGAGCTCCGCCCCCCCTCGGCAAATCTCCAGATCGCCCGACTCGACGAAGGGCGCCCGAATCCCCAGTTCCAGGGAACCCTTCGCGGCGCCAAAATGCAACTGCACATTGCCCAGCACCGACACCACCAAGTCGGCGCAGTCGGAACGCCGCCAATGGGGCACGCGCTTCCCCAAGGCCATCTGCTGCATCAACAGTTTGGTCTCGAGGGCACATGCACCGGCGCTTCACGCGCCGGTTCAAGCCCGCGCCCGCCAGCCGCGCAACGGCGGTCGCCCCCCCGCCGCGAACGATCACCACGCAGCCGCGTTGCCAGGCGAGTCTCCGCACAGCGCCTGCTTCACGCGGACCGCGGTCGTCGGCCACGAGGACGCGCCACTTCCCCCGCAACTGCGGGTCGGCAAGCAACGCCCGCAAGCGCCGCCGCAAGAACGACACAACGTCGCCTGCGCTGCAAGACCGCTTCCCAGACGTCGCCGCGCCCGCCCAGGGCGGACAACCGCAACTGCGGGGACGCGCGGCCAATTGCTCAACGATGAGAGCCCGCCCCCCCCCCCATCCGAACATCAGCACGGCCGGCGGAGGTCCGCAATTGTCGATGTCCCCCACGTCGCTCCGCGCCGCCAGGTCGGCGGCCCACCGAGCCCCGCCGCCGCCGCGCGCCCCTACGAGCGGGGCAATGCCACCCTTCAAAGCCAAGGCCGGCCTCGAGGCCAACGAGGACTCGTCGCGGCGAATGGGCGACCAGCGCCACTTCAGGACGCGCGGTTCGCACCCCGGGAGCTCCTCCGAAGCTGCGAAGACCCTTGCCATGTTCGAGATCATTGTCTCCAAGCGCGATTGGAGCAATCACTCTGGCACCACGCACTCGCGGTTCGGCTTCCTCATGCTCAGGCCGCAGGAGCGCCGCCACTTCACCCGCCACCGCGGCCGCAACTGCGGCACCTTGGGCCTGCCCCCCCGCTTCATGGCCCCCGCGCAGTAGTCCGCGACGAGTTGCTTCGCCTTCGAAGACAGCAGGGATTGCGAGTACCTGGCCAACATCCTGGGCCTTACTTCTGCATGTGCGGCTCGCTTCGCCACCGCCTTCCAGCCCACGGAGCACCTCGCGCGGGACCGCCACTCGCACGGAGCGGCCTCCAGCCATAGCCTGGTTCGGGCGCCCTTGCACGCGCCGAGCGCGGGTTCGGCCATGGGCGCCCGCCGTGGCCAGCCCACCCCCTTCGCGCCAGATTACGAACCACTTGGAGACGGCGCGCCCCCGACGTTTTCGCCCCATCTGCTTCGACCATGCGAACCGCTCGCAAAAAGACCCGAGTGCATGTCGCGGCAGAGCGCCATCGCCCATCCAGCCGCAACCGCGGGCGCGCGCCTCAAATTCTGCGCGCGCCAGGTTCCCGGCCTCTGAGCACGCGCGGGCACGGGCGCCGTTTCACTTCCGCAACCGCGAGCTGCGGGCGCGCGCGGGCCAGCGCGCGGGCCCCGATCGGCACCCGCCCCAACGACTCCGGCATTGATTCGGCCGCGGCAAGTAAGATCAAATACCGTGGTCCTGCGCACCCGTCTGCAACTGCAAAACTGCCATGAGGACGGCGCTTGGCGCGCCCGGCCCCCCCGGCGCCTCAACTGGCCGGCTCGCCCTCGCCCTCGGCCCCGCCCGGGACGGCGGGCCTGGGAGAGCCGCCGCCCCCGCAACTTCGGGGCTCCCGCGCCACCTCCGAACGGGGCCCCCGCACGACAACGAGCGCGTCGCGCAACCGCGGCTCGCCCCAGCAGCGCGCCCCGGAATCCTGGAGACCCCCCCCGCATCCATGCGCGCGGCTCGGCATTTTGCGGCTTCTGCAACATCATCGCCACCAGGTCAATGCCGCAGTTTCCATCGCAGGCGGCCCCTGCGATCCAATGGCCCACAGGCCAATGCAACTCGCTCAACGGGTCGGCCACCCCCGAGCACGCGCGACCCACCGCGAGCGCGGCCGCCCAGCACCCCGCACCATGGCGAGCGTCATCGGGGGTTCCGGGCATAAGATCCAGCGCTGCCCACCCCCCAAAACAGACCGCCATCGTCGTCGAGCGCGCACGCCACGCCGTCGACGGCGCACGGCTGCATGCACTTCCCCGGCGCCCGCGGCACGCAGAAGTCAAGGAGGCCCCAACGGCCCGCGCCTTCCCACATTGACGGTCGACACTCGAAACGCAAGTCAAACAGAATGAGAGCTGAGTGCCCCACGCAAGAGCCCTCGGACATAATCTGCCACAGGAGCGCCATCACTTCGTCGGGAACCGTCGCCGCCAACGCGGCCAGGATCTCTGGCACACCTTCCACGCCTCTCCGGCGCCAGGGGAGGCGCCGCGGCCGCGCGGCGTCGGCAGCGGGCGCCGCGACTGCCGCTGCTGCCTTTGGGTCTGGGCACGGGAAGATAGCGACGCGCGATTTTGACCGCGGGCGCGCTGGTGGGACGCGCGCTGCAAATGGCGCGGCACTGTCACTTCCCACTCCTTCGGGTGCACCAGCCGCAACCGCGGTCTCGCGCTCGGGAGGCGGTTCTGGCGCCGCGTGCACTTGCGCTGGAGAATGCGTCGGGGCCGCCGCTGCGGGTGCTTCGGGCGCAGGGCCTGCTGGGGGCGCCCGAGGCGCAGGCACTTCTTGTCCGGGAGCTGCGGGAACAGCCAGGGCCGCGGGCTGCGGGCACTTTTTGCGCAGGAGCTGCGGGTGCTTCTGGCACGGGAGCTGCGGGATACGCGAGGTCACTTCCGGAGGTGGCTCCGCGCGCAAGGGGGGCGGGGCGGAAACCGACACCGAAAAGCGGAGAGCGGAAAACGGAATGCGGAAACCGGAAAGCGGAACGTGGAAACTGGAAAACGAATGGCGGGAGAGTCTGAAATGACTCTGGCATCTCATATAGCATCCAATTCCATGTCGAAGGAATACGATATGGGGAGTGGATGGCTAGGATGGGATAAGATCGAAGTAGTGATCTTTCCAGCACATAGCGAACACTAAGGTAAGTGTCCGGGCGAATAGGGCGCGCGTGCCTTGAGCCAAAGGCAACGGCGCGCAGGCTATACTCCCGATCCTCTATAACATCTCCCAAAGAGCTACCCTTAAAGTCGGGAGGGGAGGAGACGGAGAGCAAAGCCGCGCAGCCGTTAGGCTCTAGAAAGGCCGCGCGCACAACTGTGTGCAAGAAAAGCACGACGCACAGTCTGGCCTACCACCAGACTGAAGGGCGAGATTATTCGCCGGCGAGTTTCCTCGCAAAACTTTTCACGCACACGCAGGATAGCCCCTTGGATATACAGGGGCTACCGGCCCGGCTAGAGGTAAGCCAAACAGGCCATTCCCCTCCAGGCAAAAGGGTATTAAAACAAAGAGCCTGAACCAAACCGAGCAGGCTCGTTTCCAAGCGTGAAAAGTATGGCTCGTTTCCGAGCAGCAAAGAGGGCGCCTCTGCATTAGGCGCCCGTGCTGGCAAACTGGACCGCGGGGGCAACAAGGACAGACTAAAACTAATTCGACTTCGGCTTGTTCCTGTCCTCGGGGCCGCGAAAGGGAACAAACTGCTTCACGTCATACTTAAATGACTGAGTGCCTGACATCACTTCCAAGAGCAGCTCACGATCGATACTCCCCTTTGTATGCCCATCTGCGGTCATGTCTCTAGTATCACACCACTGTACGTTATGCACTATACCTATATCCATGAGCTCACGTATCCAGCTGATATGTCCCAGCAAAGTCCGTTCCGTCGGTATCTTAAGATCTCTGCTTGATAACGATTTGTATACAGACTCAGCGTCTATAGTAAGGGATACTTTGACAGCTAGGCCTCCAACTTCACGCATATCTCGTAGTTGTCGTGGAGTCAGTGCCCCTGCCTTGAGCTCGTGAAGAGTGATGAGCGCGGGATAGCATTCATCAAGATTGTGTGCAGCTGCACGTGCCTCAGCGGCATAGCTGGACCTCACCTGCAGTCGGTGTGATTTGCATAGTCCGTCACAAAGGTGAATGACGGACTTGCCGTGAGGCGAGTTTCCTCGCCGTAATACGTTAGCCCCACGAATGCCGTAGCCCTTGGTTTCATCGCCCTCCT